TCAACCGTGCAGCACTCGAGAGCACTTATTTATAAAGTAAGCAGCAACGTTGATGTGGTAACTGCATTGCACGTCTTTTGACATTGTTGTAATTTCTAAAACGCCGGCTGCCTGACATTTTACATTGCTGCTGCATGACTCGGAGCTGTCAGAAAGAACATCCACACCAGCGCAAACTGCTCTATCGCTCTGTCTTACCATGATCTCACACGGCTACTTCCGGGATCCTGAAGCGCGGAGGGGGTGCAACGGAACAGCCAGTGTTATTCAGCACAGGCGGTTTCAAGCCGCCCACTTTCGGGGGGAAAAAGCACAACGCAGACATCAGAGGACAGAGAGCAGTTAAAACACTCGCCAAAATAATATACACAACCGAAAAGAGAAAAGATCAGCGTCCACAACGAGGGACTTTCTACCAAACTAAAGATTTGACGCATTTTTAGTTGACCAATGCAGTGAATCCACATTTCGATCCATAGTGTATTCTATTTATAAAGACTTTTTAGTAGTAAGAGGGCAGAGAATAAAACAAGGACCCTTAAGGGTCTTCCAGTGATCTTAGCTTCAAATATAACAGGTTGAATATTACAGTAGCTAACAGTACATTGACAACAAAAAGTATAGTTTAGGACTTAAGAGGGGGTTACTTGTATTATTTACAATCTTTTACTGAATTTTTGTTATCTGAAAAATATGTGTTATACTTTTATATGATTTTATACATTACTATTTTTAGTTGAAAATGGTGTAGCATAAGCGCACCCTCAGAAACACTGACTGTATTCACACAGGTTTCCCCCACAAACATGCACCAGCTGCCATTGGTCAGAAAGATAGTCCCGCCCCAAACTCACACCATTGGTTGAGTCAGTGTTGGACTACTCAAACAAAAAATTGAATAGCCTACTTAACGCCACTAAATTATAGTATTTCCACTATTTAACCTATGAATGATCTACATATAAACATCCATTTTAATATGCAGTTATCTCTGGTTATTAAATTTTGATATGAAGTATTTTAACATCTAAAAATGACAATCACATTAAACTTACAAATATCAATATTTCATTCTATTGACTTCTCAGTTACGACGACAGCCTCCTGAAACTTTACAGCCTGAATCAGATACAGGCGCAGATCAACATAAAGGACGGAACAACAGTTTGAGCATCAGCTCTCGTGGCGCTTCAACCGTGCAGCACTCGAGAGCACTTATTTATAAAGTAAGCAGCAACGTTGATGTGGTAACTGCATTGCACGTCTTTTGACATTGTTGTAATTTCTAAAACGCCGGCTGCCTGACATTTTACATTGCTGCTGCATGACTCGGAGCTGTCAGAAAGAACATCCACACCAGCGCAAACTGCTCTATCGCTCTGTCTTACCATGATCTCACACGGCTACTTCCGGGATCCTGAAGCGCGGAGGGGGTGCAACGGAACAGCCAGTGTTATTCAGCACAGGCGGTTTCAAGCCGCCCACTTTCGGGGGGAAAAAGCACAACGCAGACATCAGAGGACAGAGAGCAGTTAAAACACTCGCCAAAATAATATACACAACCGAAAAGAGAAAAGATCAGCGTCCACAACGAGGGACTTTCTACCAAACTAAAGATTTGACGCATTTTTAGTTGACCAATGCAGTGAATCCACATTTCGATCCATAGTGTATTCTATTTATAAAGACTTTTTAGTAGTAAGAGGGCAGAGAATTAAACAAGGACCCTTAAGGGTCTTCCAGTGATCTTAGTTTCAAATATAACAGGTTGAATATTACAGTAGCTAACAGTACATTGACAACAAAAAGTATAGTTTAGGACTTAAGAGGGGGTTACTTGTATTATTTACAATATTTTACTGAATTTTTGTTATCTGAAAAATATGTGTTATACTTTTATATGATTTTATACATTAAAAATACATTTAAAACTTGTATAGTATGGAATGATCTAACCAACCAACTAGTCGAGATGAAAAGAATTAAGTCAGCGCTTCCATAATTTTATGTATTCCAGATTGAAACGGGGAACGAATGCATGAAAGGAACTGATTGATTGGTGAAAAGTGTGTGTTACCAGGACCCAATTTTGGTAAAACAATGGCTGAGCTGCATATTTACTCATAGTATTTCTGCCATATGTTAGTATACTAGTATGGTATTCCAAAATCAACCAATGGCAGAGTAGCGATTTCGCTATTGTTTAACATTATCCAATAGCATGTGTGGCCTACCTGACACAGGTGGAAAGGGAACGGTATTTCAGTAGAAGTGTATTGTATTTTGATCAGTTTATGAAGAAAAATATGTTATTTTATTTGCAATATCATGCAATCGATGGATCATCCACAATAAGATGAAGAAAGTGCATTAGGAAATAAATAGGTAAGTAAACAGTCCATTTTGATTTGATGTTGACTGTCACATTGACTGTTTACAAGCACAAGAATGTTCGTATGTCAGATTTGTGTAAACACAACCAGATTGCAATAAGAACATTAAGCCAACATTCCAGTTTCTAAACATGAAAATATACATTTTGATAAAAAAATTTCCTTTATTTGAAATTTCAAACATATAAATTTATATTATATAGCCTACTGTTTTAAAATATTTAGCCAGAATTTGATAAAAGTAGTTAAGCCTCTACTTTAGTTCGACATTGTGTAAATCCCATTTGTCTGAAAATATCTCAGTAATCTAAGGGTGTATTCACACCTGTCTTGTTTGGTTAGATTGAATCGAACTCAAGTTCGTTTACCCTCTTGGTGCGGACCTTCTTGGCAGGTGTGAATACAGCAATCACATTCGGTTGTGGACCAAACAACCGTACCGAGGTGGTTTCGGTCCACTTCCAAACGTACTCTGGTACGGTTAGTTTATTTTGTGTCTATTACTAAGTGCAAATATCTGGATTACTGTAAGGGTAGGTTTAGGGTTGGGGTAGATGTAGACGTTAATAAAACACAATCTAATAGGTAGAAAAAATTATTTATTGTTGCTTTCCGGTAGCTGTATCCCTTCTAGCCACAACTGCCAATATAACACATAATTACTGTATTTGCATTACTGTAAGGGTAGGTTTAGGGTTGGGGTAGGTGTAGACATTAATAAACCATAATTTGACAGGTATCATTTTTCGTTGTCGAATTGTACTACCCACTGTTTTAATGGGAGGTAGCAAAATCTGACAGGGTAGCACAAATCGACAGAACACCGGGTTCGAGTCCGACTTTTGCCGAGCTCGCTCTTCTCACTTTTCCCATCACATATCACATTCAAATTTATTTTCAATAAAAATGAAGAAGAAAATGCTCTAAAAGTGGAAGTAAAGTGCCTAACGAGTGTTTAATAATTTAATTTAATTTTAATAAATATAATCATTTACACTCTATGTTATTATTGCATCATATTAATGTACAACAATACTGAGGTGCAAATAGTATGTATCCGCCAGTAGAAAGTATAAATAGCATCTATTTATTATTTACACTTATTGCAAAGAACTGCTACTTTTACATGGTAAATAGAATATATCACTATTTTTTACACTAAGTGTAAATAGCATCTAGAGACATTTTCAGCCCATGCCCACACAGATCCCATAAAGGTCCCATATGTTCAAACCTATATGGGACCCACATTGTGAAACACACATGGGGCCCACATACATTGCCCATTTGTCAGCATAGATCCCATAAAGGTCCCATATGTTCAAACCTATATGGGACCCACATTTTGAAACACACATGGGGCCCACATACATTGCCCATTTTCAGCCCATGCCCACACGGAACCCATGCTGCCCGGGTATAACCCATATGGGGCCCACATATCAATGTTGGCTGGGACTTAGCCTACTGTAAATATAGGATCTATCACTAAGAAAGTATGCTAATTCCACTTAGTGTAAATAGCCGGTGCTGTATTTTTCTTACCCTATTGGCAGATCATTTGTAAAATAAGAAAAATGCACTTATAATATTATTATTATTATATATTTTTTTTTGCCCGTGGGATAACATGGAAATGAATAGCCTATTCAATAACCTACCTCGGGTGCTGTTGCCATGGTGAATCGGAGCTCCATTGATCATGGCTTTTCATAGTCGTGGTGCACGCGCTAAAAGTCAAGCTACTCCGAGTCGATTGAACTAACTCAATTCAGCTGTTCTGAAACCGAAAACTCAAGAGTTTCCCATCTCAGAGTAAGTCAACTCAGAGTTCAAGTTTTAACTCAGAGTTGGTTGAACCTCCTTATTGAAACGGGCCCCGGGTGTGAATACACCCTAAGTAATCAGATCAATTATTATTTACATTAAAAGCATGTTTATTACCTCTCAGTCATTTATCCATTTCTAGGTAGTATTATTTTGCTGTCTAAACTGCTGTAGTGCCATTCATCAATTTTTTAGAAGACAAAACAAACATTATGCAAAACCATTATCTCTATTACTTCATGAAGAGATGTGTATTTTTTTTTGTACGACCCACATAATCTTACTTCAATCATCTGTACAAGCAGAAGCTGAAGAATCCGCTCCACATTTGCCATTTCACTTTAAATTTGGCCAGTGACAGTAGAGGGTGTGATTGCTTGTGAGGGGAACAGCCAGTTGTTTAAAATCCCTCTCAGTACGGTTTCAAATTCCCCTCAGTGCTGGGTATGACTGTGCGTGTGTGTGTGTGTGTGTGTGTGTGTTCCACAGACAGAGTGCTGGAGATAAGAAAGGGGTTGTGTTTCTGTTGGGGCGGGGCTGAGTAACTGTCACTCACTCGAGTTACCCAACAAAATGGGCGTTCCTTCTCGGCGCTCCGTCCAATGAGAGCAATCGCTCCTGTAGTCACCATGGTGACGGGGTTGTGTCCGGGGAGGCTGTGATGGGTTGACAGGTGCGTGACAATCGGAGCTCTCTGCAAGCATGTACGCCAAAGGCAAGAGTAACAACGTACCGTCCGACAGCCAAGCGAGGGAAAAGTAAGTTTTATTTATGAGGGGGGAGGGGGGGAATCTCTATAATGAAGACAGCGCGCGGACAGACTTTTAACAAGCGGCGGATACGCTCTGTTCCTCGGATGCTGTGTTGTCTCTGACAGCGCTTGTAGTTCGTGCAAGAAAGTTGTCGGAATTTCTAGCGTCTAATTAACGCGACACGCCGCCTTTAGTAAACGTATAGCACGCGCAGAAGTTAAGAGATGCGAAGAATAAACTTCATATGTGGACTATCGATAAAAAGAGTACATTTCTGCATCAGTAAATATTTATTTATGCATGCAAAGTTGCTATATAGCTCATTTGAAGGATTTCTACGTCTCATTTTTGTATTGGAATAAGGTGAGTACACAAGTTTTTTGGCTTTAAAATAAAAGTGCATGGTAAGATATGGTACATACCCGTTTACAAGTTTAAAAGCCGATTTCAGCTAGTCAGGTAAGCTGAGAAAAAGAAAAGAAAAGAAAAAAATTAATGGTAACCATCCCTTGTTAAAAGTACGAACTGTGTTTCTGTATTCCGTGCGCTCGCGCGATTGGCGTTCCGGTCTGAAAAGTTCCAGCGCAAGCGAGCGAGAGCAGTATAGCGCGCGAAAGAGTATGATTGACGTCTCAGCGTGAAAAGTTCCAGCGCGCGCGAGACTTCTTCTTAGTGGCGGTTATTTTTTCGCTGTTATATAAGGATTTTGGCTGCGCGCGAATCTCTGTGAAGATGGTGGTGGCACGAGAGGTCCGTCGACCTGAGGAAAAGATTTATCTGTATTGAATGTCATTTTACAATATTTCATTTATGGGTATGTTTATTTCGTTTGATGGTGTCTGAAATGGAGAAACTTGCTAAACAGGGAAAGATAGAGTTTGAGTGATCTTTAAATGATGTCCGGTACACTTACAACGGTCATCTGAGGGAATATCTCTATTTAAGAGCGTCCAAAATACATTTTTAATGAATATATTGCAGATTTAGTTATAAATGTTAGAAATATGTCATATTGAAATGTGTTTGGCCTAATGTGGAGATTTTAGAGTATCCTAGAAGGATGTCTAGCACACCTTAAAGGGGTCATATGATGCGATTTCAAGTTTTCCTTTCTCTTTGGAGTGTTACAAGCTGATTGTGCATAGATAAGAGCCCTGAAGTTGCAAAGACTAAAGTCTCAAAACCAAAGCAGCTGTCTTAACCGTGGCTTGTGTACTGCAAACACATACCAGCTTCATCACTGTGTCTGTCACGCGACTCTGTTCCCCTTTCGGGCTCTGTCTTTACATTTATTTTGAAAGATGAAGCTTGCGATTATGGTAAGGGGCGTTACATTTCCGACGAGTGCTTGCGGTGTTCGGCCAATCACAATGCACTGGGTCAGCTGGCCAATCAGAGCAGACTGCGCTTGTCGGAAGGAGGGACTTTGTAGAAAATGAAGCATTTGAGAGAGGTAGTGTACAGTATGTTAAAAGTTTTTTGAACATTAAAGCATGTCAACATATTCTGTTACACCAAATACACCAAATAATGATCTTTAAAAAAGCATCATATGACCCCTTAGAAATATGTCATATTGAAATGTGTTTGGCCTAATGTGGAGATTTTAGCGTATCCTAGAAGGATGTCTAGCACACCTTAAAGGAGTAGTTCACTTCCAGAATGAAAATTCTGTCATCATTTTCTCACCCTCCTCTTGTTCCAAACCTGTATAATAATAATAAAAATGTTGGGGGGAAAAACTAAAAATGTTGGTATCCGATCACCATTGACTTCCATAGTAGGAAAAAAAAATACTATGGAAGTCAATGATGCTCATCAATTGTTGGGATACCAACATTTTTCAGAATATCTTCTTTTGTGTTCAACAGAAGAAAGAAACTCATACAGGTTTGGAACAAGTGGAGGGTGAGTAAATTATGACAGAATTTTCATTCTGGAAGTGAACTAATCCTTTAAACCATTCTGATAAACATTGCTAGGAGCAGAGCCGGTGCCATGGGGGGCGTCGCCCCCTCACTCAAGACTATTAGACTATCCCGCCCCCTCACCCAAGATGAGTGTGAAAATAGATTATGACATATAATGGTTTATTTAAATAATATAGTTGCCAAATGCATAGGCTTTCTAGCATTAATATAATGCTAGCAACAATTTAGGCCAGTCCATTTCACAAAGTCGCATTTTAATTGTTACATCTCTGACACAAATTCCTGTGCAAGCGGTGCAACTAAGAATACAGCACTACTTAGTAAGCTTTGATAAAATCATTTTTTAATGTATGATAGAGGGCTAGATGATCGTAGTTAATTAGGCTAATTATTTCGCTGTATTGTTATTGTTCGTTGCTGTTCAAGTTGTTCTAACTTAAAATGATGCATCTGTTAAATGGGTCACAATGAATGTATTATGTCAGGGAATCGGTCGCAATGAGCTTGTGTTTCATTGTAAAGTAGACACAATTAAGTAATTCTGGTGGTTGTGGTGGTATCACTTGTCTGTATTTGTGGTAAAACTGCTGCCTATGATGTAGGGGTGTGCGATATACAGTGGGTACGGAAAGTATTCAGACCCCCTTAAATTTTTCACTCTTTGTTATATTGCAGCCATTTGCTAAAATCATTTCAGCTATTTTTTTCCTCATTAATGTACACACAGCACCCCATATTGACAGAAAAACACACACATGACATGAAATTAAGAATTCTTTCCCATGGCTTATTCATTCATTCATAAATAAATATTTATTACATGGCTCTCTGGAATACTTGATTCTGATTGGTCAGTTGTGACATTATTGGTCAGTGCGTTATTCCCCAATAATAACTGTCATCATTAGCAACATTGGTCTGAATACTTTCCTGTATACTGTATATCGTCTGCGATAATATCGTAATTGTTGTTTTAACGATGTGCGATTTGACATTATCGAGTATTTTGCAAAAACCATTCAAAACATCCCTACAGAGCGCATGCATGCATTATGTGAAGTCTAGACTAGTGCGTGAGCGCATTTAGTGTGTTTTCTTTCACTGCATGATTCAGTCTATTAAAATGCATTTAGAATGATCACAAATTCAAGACATGATTGCAGAAGATTTATATATTTATACCACTTCATATAGTTATTCAATTTCACACGAAGAGTGTCGGTTTTTTTAACGATTACAAATGTGACATTGAATTCAATAAACAATAAGTTAATTAAGAGACTTACGTTTTAGACACCATATTGCTGGTTTTTGCTCTATTTCGCTAACAAAAATCATTCCGAATACAGCCACAGTGCTGTTTTGTGTCTCTGAGCAACATGACGGTGTTTCGTTCTTGAATGAATCATCCGTTTAAATGATTCGGTTCAATCGCAATGACGCACTTATTAACAGTGATTTGCTGCCACCTGCTGGCGGTTTTAATTTCACATTTCGGCTTTTTCTTTCTTTTTTTGTGTGAATTTTTTCATGTTTTAAATAATTTCAAATATCAGTATTCAACGTTTTATGTTTAATATATCAAAACATTATTTATGCATTTGTAATTGCAGGTTAAATGCATTCATGTCTTGCATTAAACAAAATACATGTGTGTAAATACATCTAAATGCCACTTCAGATGCAGCTTCTGTGTTGATTTCATTTGCTTGGTAACAGCCCAAATGTCTTATTATTCTAATTCCCTGATTAAATGTAAGAATTTGACTCAAAAAATGGCTTTATAAAGGTAAAAATGCCCATAAAATGCAAAAATCAGTTAATCAGATTAATTTCTATCAGTATGAACTGACCACCACACAGAATATGAAGAATATTAAAAACATTAGGAGTCAGCTGTCTTCGGCAGTCCTTAAGGTACCGGCACAATAACACACTCAGCAAAATATCGTCTAATTATCATTATCGATAAAATCCCAGAAAATATAGAGATATAATTTTTTGTCAATATCGCACACCCCTACTATGATGACATATTTATTTCCTGGATGTCAGATTTTTGAATTTGGTGGCTATGCGATTTAGTTTTATTCAATACTCTGCCTTCTGTATTTGCTAAGTAGCTTTTAGTAGGGTCATTCACTCAGAACGTGTTTTTTCATTCCACTGCTGTACTTTTCCATTGTATTTCAATGTAAATGCGCTACTCGACGTCTTGAATGCTGCGCTCTCGTCTCAGGTCTTTATAGCAGCTTCTCACGCATAATTCTCGTGCATAATGCATCATTCTAAAACACGGCGCTCAAGTTCAAAGAAATTCAGCTTCTAAAAGCTTCTGTCTCTAGACCTTGCAAAAAAACAACAAACTTCCACTGACCTGTCTCGCGACCAAAACACTAACTGTGTGAACCCTGTATTCTAATAGTTGTAGTAGATTACGGTCTGACAAATACATGAATGGGCCACATATGTATTTTTTTTTTTTTTACTTTTACTTTGTGCTAGCCTATGTCATCGCCCCCTTTCGTCACCTCAGCAGCCCCCTCATCAGTGCTGCGCTGGCGCCGGCTCTGGCTAGGAGTCTCCAAAAATACCTTTATCATGAATATATTAAAGGACATGTGTCTGTATTTTAAAATATGTTGTATTAGAGTGTATTTGGTTTGTCAGTGTGGAGATTTTAGAGTGTCATCACTGCTGAGATGATGTCTTGGACATGGGAACTTATTTGACAAGTGTCAGTCAATCAGAAAGTGTCACCTCACCCGTTGATTTCCTGTGGTCTAAAACTGAATTAGTATTCTCATATCGCCTTTGTTGTCAGCTTGAACACACACAGTTTTGTCTTCCTGCAGTGAGGTCTGGTCTTGAAGTAATTAGCAATTATTGCAGTTTCATTCAGGCCAGTGTCTTGTGGGACATGTGTGGACTTGTGGTTTTTCGATGAAAACTCTCCAGCATTGGATTTGAGCTTGAGAAAGCAGTTTTGCTGGTTATGAGATTTTCTTACTGCTTCTCGCTCTTTCTAAATGAATTTTTCTGCCATTTGTGGTTCTTTATTTGTGCTGGGAATGCTTTAGGATTTCAAAAATAATCACTGTTGTATAACTTTCTGTTAATTTTCGCTGCTTTCTTTCAAATTTTGGGGTTTTGCCACTTTTATTTACAGGGACAGTGTAGAATAGACAGAAAATCATGAGAAGAGAGAGAAGGAATGGGAAAGTGATGCATGAACTCAAACCCACATCTCCCATATGAGCATGACAGAGCACATACGCTAACAGCCATGGCTCCTATACATTGTCATTCGTTTCAGTTTTTTCTTGACTAAAAACTTAGATGATCTTAATCTAAAATCCAAGTGTAAAATTTGCATATACAGGGCTCCCACAGCCTTAGAAATCGAGAATCCGGGTGATTTCCAGACCTAGA